TTGTTTCAGTCCTTCAAAATGTGTGAAGCTATAGTACGCCACACGTCATTGGGGGTAACCACAAATATAAGCACAGGCGCGTGGCGACAGATTTTTTACAAAGTGTCGACAACTTCTTGCTGACTTGTATTGAAATAGTGCATGGCTCCACGTGGCCTAAAGAAAAGATAAAAATCAACATATTTCATAGTATTGACAAACCCGTCTGCAATATTACGGGGGAAATTTGTCTTCTTTTATGCACTATGTATTAGTTGTACATGTTATTCTTCAACATTTTAATCAAACATTTTTGAAAATTTTTGTTGAGGAAACAATAAAACACACACATTAAGAAAACATAATTTTTGAAACTTACTTACAATGGTTATTTAAAAATTTATTTAGCGTCCCAAAATATCAAAACAGAAGTATCTAAAAGTGCAAAAAACCATACATAGTTTTTGTTTGTTTTGTTTTTGTTTAAAATTTCTCAGGTTGCTCATATTTTGTACACATAATACCATCCAAACAAAAGTCGAGCTATCTATAGAGTGTCCCGCTCTGAAATCTACACTGTTTTGAAAGCACTCTATGCAAAGGATACATGTACATCCTTATTCAATAGGGGTTCATTTCCTGTCTGCCTTTGTAACGTTAGACTTTATCAAAACCTCCATCAGTCTTTAAAACAAGTCATTAGAAAGTGTTGATACTTAGATAAGAAACGCAGCGCCGTGTCACTCGACTTTTTCTTAGGTTAATGAACGGGTACCTTTGTTCAGAATCAGTATTTCTAGCTGGATGTTCGATAAATACGACTTCGTCACGTTTAAGTGCTACAAATATGCATTAAGAAAAAAATAAATTACTAGTTTAAAAAAAAAGAATAATGAATTAAAGAAAAAATTTGAGAGGAATTTTATTCGTTCTTTTTGTGTGATTGACATAAAACAATGTTTTAATTAATGATATTGGCAATTAATAAAAGATAATAAAAATCTGTGTTCCAATTGAACGATTTATAATAAAGCATTGCATAACACAGACAGTATGTACGTGTTTTATGCTATAAATCAATAATTTATTAACTATACTAAGTTCATTTTTAATTGAAACAATATAGATAAACATTTTCACACGTCAGTCCTAGTGGAATTCAATAGGATTAAAAAGGGTCCATTACATAGGAAATCGGACAATTGTCTTTTTTAAGGGGAAAAATTAACCATTCGATAAAAATGGTTCATTCCAATGAATGAATCTCGATCGAGAGAGATGGGGCATTCAGCTTCATATTAAAACGGTTATATAATTAAACAGCAGTGTTTTTTTTAAATATATTTAACTTGGATGGACCAACATTAAAATAATGCTTGCTTGCCCTCTCCCAATTCATAATGAAAAAAATGGGTCCATAGTAGGTGAGCAATTTTCCCCCAAAAAATCTTAGATCAATGTAGAATTTTCAAAAACTTTTTTCAGGAATTATTTTAAAAAATTGCATCCAAGATATTTACAATAAAAGTTTTGAGTTAGGGGCAATTTTCAGCATAGTTGATCGGGAGAGTTCAAACAATTTTTAAGGTGGCCCTGAATTCATGGCTTAAAGGAGATAACTCTAATTCACCTACTACTGGCACAAGATATAATTTTTTTATTTTTAAATTCTATAGATTTATTAAGGGGGTACCTACCCTCTGATAAGAGAGATAACTTTCCAAGTACAAAATACGAATACCATAGCTTTCATTATCAGAGTTTCTTTATTGAGATCTCGGAATCTAACATATGACTGAAACATATAGTACTTGTAACCTTCTATTTCTTTCGCCAATACTTTTCATATTGTTTTATAATAATTAACAAAAATTCAAATCCAGTTTTAAAAGCCTTACAAACCTCATACAACGTTGTGATATTCTGACTTAGGAAGCAGCACTTTAATATCTTTTCTAATACGATTTTAATAGGTATGATACTAAATATTATTTTCATATATACTTCATATTTTTAATTTAATGCCGTGTTAATAAACCGTCACTCTTTCTATTCTCTTTGTTCAAATTTCTTCATACAATGATCTGACATTTAAAAAAAGGATCCTTAAAAAAATCGTTTCTGAAAAAATAAGCCGTGCTTTATACCTCATACCATTTTCCATTCGCAGCTGATGTTAAAGCTCCTGATGAAAATCAGTGATGGGAATGTTTTTTAAAAAAAATGTAAAATTCATAGCAGAGGGTCATTCGTCCTTAAACCTCCACTTTATTAAATGATCTATTCAGCGTCTACAACCAAAAAGACTCTCATGCTATAATTGCAGTTATGTGCATGTACAGCGATATATAATTAACCAAACTACCAATTCAGCATATGTTTTTGTAATGTACTTTATGTCATTTATGAGTATGTACATTGTCAGTGTTACAAATCTAATACTGGTTACTGTCCACGGGCAACGGAGAAAAACATATATAAAGGCTAATTAATAAACACTAATTATTACTTACGAGACTAATTATGATATCTCATTTTAATAGACAATTTATTATTATATTATGGATATGAAATATTTCTATTATCCCGAACTGCCCTTCCTTGACTTTTTTTTTTAAAAGGTTAGCGCGATGTTTTCTCGATCAAGATATTTTAGAGAACCTGCCACCCCCACCCCACCCCTGTAAAAAAATCTTTCATTCAGATCATTGCATATATAACCTTGAAATCTTGTATGTAGAGTTTATTAACAGACATTGCATGTCTGTTGTCGAATCCGTTCGGTTTTCTGAATAAACCTGCTTTAAAAGTAACATGAAATCACGTTGCTATCAATGTGTTAGAGAAAATATTATGCAAAAAGTGGGCGAGAAAACTCTATAAATATTGGTTTCCGTCCAGTTCTTTGATTTTTATTGAAAATTCAGCAAAATTGTAAGAATATTGATTCTTTTTTTTTTGTGACTGATTTGTTTGATATTAGGCTTAAAATTCTCTTTTTTGTGAATACTGCCTTTCAGATAAAAAAAATGGTAAGGAAAATTTGTACTTATTAAATTCTTATGCTACCATATTTTTGTGATTCCCAGACATTGAAAATTTTTGTTTTCAGTGATATGTATGCTAGTATAAATGATCTTTTTAAATGCTTATAAATAAGACTACTTTCCAAAACAAACTTTTTTCAATGAAATGAATACTTCTATATTAAATAAAAAAAAATAATTTGAACAAAGTGCATTGTTGCTGAACACATTTTAAATGTATGCTTTCCTTCTCCTTACCTTATAAATGCTCAACATGACGAAGTAATGAATTGGATCTGTTCATTAATACGTTGATATCGTCATGTGACCCAAAGGACAAATTTAACACTTCTAGGTGTTCCTCTCAAGAAATAAAAAAGTATGTACAGAAAAGAAAATAAATGTCTAATATTCGAGTTATATTGTTTGCTGCAATAAGAGGTAACATGCTATCATATGAAACAAAATCATGTTTCTCTAATCCGTAAATTCTTTTTAGGCTTTTTTGGCCTTATTCTTTTATGCATTACATGATTTATGTAATATGCAAATAGCGACATTATGAAATTCAATAACATGGACAGTTTCTTATAATAAATGATATATGCCTGCATTGACATCATTTTGATAGCATCTATCAAAATTTGCTTCTTTTCTTGAATGGGTTGGTCGATATGCATGTTGCACAGTAGTACGTTCCTTGCACATGACTATTGTATTCATTGACGTAAAAGCTATACAGATGACGGCCAACAAATGCGTTTTGGACGCAATTTGAATTTTAATGGAGCTGGGTATAAAATCGGTGATTGTCTATGTTAGAAATGTTGTTAATTTGATAGATTTAAAATGAGCGTCCCATCTCTTGTTTCTTTGACTCGGTATTCAGAAAAAGGTGTCTTCTTTTTATTACTACATTTTGAATTTCACCTGGAAGAGACTTGATTTATGTAAGGAAAAATCAGAGAAAGACTGGTCGTCTTTAACACTTTCCGTTTCGCTTGGTCCATTCTTAAAAAAATTTACTTGGGCATTTTTCTTGTATAGCGAGCATTTTCTAATCAGGGTTCCCAATACAAATAATCTAGTTTATATCGATTCTATATTAAACTGTTAAATGTATTTATACATGGGTAATCAACATGCTTATTAAGCCCTCAAATGACGTGGTTCGAATCAAAATGAAAATCATGCTGAAACAAATTGTAATTTTTAACTGTTTAAAATTACATGCAGGCACGTAGCAACAGGAGGGGGGCTGTCCCCCACTTTTTTCCCCAACAAAACCTTTACTATTGAAAGGTTGGTTGGCTCCCCACTTCTTTCCACAGTAAAGGGATATCAAAGAATTGCAGTACTATATATATCCCAAAGAATTTGAAGTGAAAGAAAGTTGGCATCGAAAAAAGTTGGCCACTAATCCCACCCCACCCCCACGCAATAGGATTTTCGAGTTTGGCATTTTCCTTTTTTTTTTTTTTGCTTGTCAACTTTTACAGGTGAGTAAGAAAATTTTTTTCTCTGGCTGCCCCCCCCCCCTTTTAAAAACGATGCTACGTGCCTGGCATGTAGATACTAACCTAACTTTTTCCAATACATTTTTTTTCTTTTTAAAAGGAAATGGTCCAATTACATTGATGAATTAATTTGCTTAAGCCGTCCTGCAAAAGTGTTACATATAGTGAAACTTAAAAAAAAATGTTTTTAAAAAATGCAAGTTGCTGGAAAATCTGGATCCTCTCCTCTGTCTATTGAATGACTCATAGTGCAAGAGAGATAACTCTAAATAAAAGTCAAGATTTTGCTGTGCAATCATAATTTGATACCACAATTCAACGCTTTTATAATAATAACTTAAGAGTGTCAGTAAAATTGTTATCGTCCTACAAGTATTAATATTACGGTCAAAACATTTTTTATGGCTTTCAATGAAAGATTCCCCCTAAGAGCACCATGTTTACAGCAGAAAAGAGAATATCTGTCCTAGTTTAGTGATGGCGCATGCGTAGATGTGCCCCCGCAGATGAGACCGGGCACCTGTAAATTCGTAGGGAAATTGTGGTCTGTCGGAGTTTCCCCGATCTCAGATAAATGCCCTTGATTTGACAGCCGGTCAGTTGATGTGGAAATATTGAATTCAATATGATCCAACACGCAGAGAAGTTGGATGCGGATGACAATTCCATAGTCAGTGCCAATCTGAATAACTCCGATCCAGGGAGCTCTTCGCCTCAAGATGAAGGTAAAAATTTCCCCCTACGTCGAGTTGTCTTTTGAATAGAATTTGTGAATGATAGTGGAAATATTTAAAGAAATCCAAAGATTTGGTTAGGATATTTATTAATCATTTGTGTGCTTATGCTGTCATGTCAGTAATTAGTTCTTTTGCCTTGGACATGTTGACCAATACCGGCCTACCAGTCAGCTTTTTGTTGACATGTGGTTCTCTCTGGCTGGGGGGCTCAAAGTAGGGACTGCAAAACACGTGTTTGCTGCTCGGTCAAAAGAGTCAGAAAAATATTTATGCTAAAAATTCTGTATTATCGTTTCTTTTAGGGGGAACAGTGTATTTGTTTTAATTTATTTTTTCTCATACAATATTTTAGTTATTTCTGTCCCAGGACATGTTCATTTACTAATCAGCTGATCAGTGTTTACTCAAGATAAACATTATGCAGTCATAGAGAGGTCAACAGATTTTCTTTAGTCTGCAAAATATTCAATAAAACCCTGACCCTCCTGTTTACTTTCGCCATGTGAATGAATCAAGATTGAAAAAAAATTGAAAAAGGGGGGAGTAATTGGGCAGATTCTTATACACACAGTGTCTTTATAAATTAGAAGTTTCCCATTCTTTTCACTCTCTCTCTTTTTTTTTAAAATAAATAATTTTTCCTGAAATGCAGAAATTCAATATTTGAAAATCCATCTGGTTGAAACCATTAAATTAACATTTAATTATATACATATATATAAGTTATAAATCTCCTGACCAATTCATTCCTTTACATTATTGATTACCATGTAACCTCAACAAATGGAAATAAAACTCCAAGATCAGTAGAATATATTTTTTTTCAAACTTGTGAGATCAGAAGTATTAAGAAGTATTTTCTTCAGGAAAACTTTAATGACAAAAAGTCTTTGCAATGATTAATTTAAACTCTGAGCACCAGAGTTCATTTCATTCCCCCCCAATTTTTTTTTTAATCTTTAAATTGCATGGTCATCAGTGTCTGTAACAAGGTAAATGAAAAAAAAGGTCAATAAATTGGTGATGGGAGGGGGGGGGTATTGTGTGGTGACCAGTCGGTGTCGATTAGCAGAAAAATATTGATGAACAGTCACAAAAATGAAGATAAGTGAGTATTGTTATGAAGACTTGTTTGCTTTGAATAACAATGAAAAGTGCTAACCCAACAACTAAATGAATTCACTGCATGTTTTAAAAATACATACTATTAGGCTTAAATTCAATGTTATTTTACACACTCTTATTGAAACAATTAATGTTAAGCTTGAATCTGATACTAGACAAACAACAGTTTCCCTTTAGGACAGTTTGTCGGAGGAAATATCTCGTTAATTAGGTGTAAGCGACATAATATGTATTGTGGTTATGTTATAGTGGTTAATCTGTTGTAAAGGGTGAAACTTAACCCCTAAACAAGGGTCATCTGTTCAAATCAGCCGAACTAAACACTCAAAATTTGTAACAATAGATTTACATCTTGTTCATGTATAGATTGTTTGTGTGTGTTGGGGGGGGGGGTCATGATTGAAATTTATTAAACTTATGAGTTAATTAATAATGGCTCATATGTCACATTAAATTGACCAAAAAAATGTATATGGTGGTTAAAAGTTACAAATTTAATTACATGACAATGTTAACATATTGTGATCTGTCATTGAATATTTATCACAGTCCAATAATTTCAGAGGTCTGCTTGCCATTGTCTGTCTGTCCACTTCTACAGACAAACCTTTTATCTACATAGAGAATGATATGGGGTAGTGGCTTGATATTCATATTTTGAGTGTCCATAAACATCAGGGATCCTTAGTATGCTCTGAGGTATTTTGTGTCACTTGTCTGAGATATGTTTGGTAAACTTGAAATCCGAGATATGTATGGAATAAGTAACTGCTTGAGAGGTGTACTTCACTTCCTCTATCCTTTAACAGAGTTCCCGAAACTAGTCAAAAATATGTCGGACAATTGTCCTGTAAATATTCAAAATTCACCGGACAGTTGTAAAATTTACCGGACATTAATTTTTTGTATGTAAATTTAACATATTATAGGATTGGAAATTGTAACGATATAATAAATAATATGTGTAAATAAAAAGATGGCAAATGCAGATTTTTTTTAAAAAAATTATTAAAATATTTTCTATAAGGCCTGTGTATGAAGGATTTGACGTCGCCGACGGCGTGTGATGACCAACGCTTAATTCATCGTATAAAATTATTATGTCCTTTCTGACATATTTTTTTTATTTTTTTTAAATAAAATCTGCAACATGACAACTCTTGGTTGATTGTTTGGAATTAGTGGGAAATATATGTTGTTTTCCAGGCTTTTTTCTTTTTTCTTTTGGATTTTGGTATTTTATGTGCCAGGAAAAATATTACGTAAAATATCAAACTCGTTTTAAAATGCCTGGAAAACGTCCGATATTTCTGACTAGTTAAAATTTATTATACAACCTCCACACAGTTAAAAATATGTACTAATGATATAAAGATATGCAAATTTATCATGAAAATGATGATTTTAAGTGAATTTGTTGTCGTTTTACTACATTCAAGTCAGTCCGCTATTTTTAGAAAAGGGGAAAAACGCGCATGTATTTTAAATGCTATCAAATACATTAAAAAAAATCCAGAAGTTGGTATAATATTATCATGCTAATAGATTAAATTATAGAGAAAATAATAAATGGTAACAAATTGTCTGTAATCAAAGAAATAGCAGGCAACTCTTGCAACCCTGCAAATCCGTCCTTCAAAACGAAAGTAGATTGTCACATTTTTTTACTGTCAGAACTACAGAGTGCATATATTTATCAGAGGGAAAATATTTGTTTGACAGTGTTTTTAAAAACAGTCTACGCGAAAGTTGAAAATTGTTACCAGACAAAATGTCTGGTAAAAATAAAATTTTTACCAGACCAAGCAATTTTTTACCAGACCGACTTTTTTTCCTTTAAATCCATACATCATTATGATACTGAGATTGAGAGGATGGTGGGATGGGGTTAATTCTCACTGTGAAATTTAACCTTATTGTTAAATGAATTCAGAGTGAAATGGACATGTTAACTATTTATAATTTTCCTTTGTTAAAGGTATCTATACAATTGCATGTATTTTTTTCCTTCATATTTGACTTGTACAACATACACTGTATCAAAAAAAATTCTTAAATTTAATATGCACTTTCAATGCATATTTATTTTTCCTGAAACAACTCATTATGGTTACTCAAGTTTGATGATCATTTGAACAAAAATTCCCAACTAAATCTACGTATGAGCTATCTAAATATTTTCCCAACCAAATCTACGTATGAGCTATCTAAAGATCTCTAACCCTTGACAGAGGAAATTCGAATTAGAATAAAAACGATCATGACAGGGTTGTAATATATAAAAATCAATCAAGTATTACTGCTAAATTGGTCACATAAAGGACATTTGTGGGGAATTGGACCATGTTTACCTCTTAATTTAGATTTATTTGGCCTTATTTTTTACCGGACATTCGGTCCTGTAAACTGATTTTTTTTACCGACCCGACCTAAATTTTACCGGTAAAAACCGACGGTCCGGTGACTTTCGCATAGACTGTTAAAACTGTTTTTCCTCCCAGACTTATGGAAATTATTATTTTAATATGTAGCTTTTTATACTAGACAATCACCGTCTACATTTTATTTAAACAAGATCTGGCGCGCCCCTCTTTTTTTTCATTCCTTTAGTTTTGCATTTGTTTATTGTCAGGACAATTGAATTAAATGATTTTGTTAAGATTATATGTAAACGTTATACAGTCTGTAAAAAAAACCATCGGACATTTTGACCGATAAAATTAAGATTTTACCGGTCCCATTTCTGGACCGGTGCGTTTCGGGAACTCTGCTTTAACTTATTCATTTTTGGGAAAAAAAAGGTCTGTTTGCAATCCATGCAATGCTTTTTTAAGGACTAGGGATATTGGCAATTATATAATGAAAAGACTATATCCTATTTCAACTTAATTTTAGCCCTTACTATCAGCTCTATCTTGCCATGTTACGATGAACACATTCGAATTTTTCTTTCTTTTCATTGCAAAGGGGCTTTTTAGCCTGAAGATTGAATAACCCAATTTAATATGTTACTGACATGCAAAAAACAGCTTTTCTAATTGCATTTTACCACTAGAAAGCCTCTATTTAAAGAGAAAAAAGTTTGAAAAGACAGAACGACCGCTGAAATACAAAACAACTAATTTAAGCTCGTAAGAGAGATTTTCCACTCGAAATGTTGACATTGCCAACCGTGGCATGAAAGCTTAAATGTTGATGACCATTACCCCTCCAGGGTGAATGCTCTTTATAGACTATGGATATTGTGTCCCCAGAGATATAAAATACATGTATCTGTATGACCAAGAACCCTGTACTAACAGGTAAAAAGAACCAGGCCATTACTTTATTGTTCAAAATATCCAAATTTTGAGCAGACCCTTCGGCTTTTTTGTATTTTCAGCAAAAGTGTAGAATGTTAAAACTTCAATCATCTTTTCTCTGGAGTATAATGTTGGATACCACATATAGCATTATGTCTCTACTGTTAATGTTTGTTTAGAACATATATTTTTATGAATATTTAACAAAAATAAAATTTATTGTTCTAGTGCATATGCCTCTTTACATGCCTAGTAGAATACCATATAAGTGCACTATATAGCTTTGTTCACAATTGCCTGATTCCTTGTGCTTCATTAAAAAATGTTATTTCAATTAATTAGTTTTTCTATTATTGAGCCCTATATTTTTTGGAATGTCAGATTTTAGTCAGTTCATCCTATCCAATTCTCTTAAAAAGGTACTTGGTAATGGCCCATAAACATGGTTATAAAGATTTTTTTTTATGAAATCAATATAGGATGCTCAACATGCCCATTTCTTCAAACTTAAGGTTTTTAAACATATGCATTTATCTATTATTTCAAGGGTAACTTTTATTAATTAGTTACTTTCTTTTTACTCTTTAGGATTAACAAGCCAAATTAAGATTTTTGTTTTCTGATGATACCCAAAAATGGATCATAAGTTATGAATTTCTCACTGCATGATTCCCATCACATACATGTATGAAAATTAATTAAACTGTAAATATTTATCCCAATAGACAAATTGTTTGGTTTTTAATCTGAATGATGAAAACCAGTTTCCCACATAAATGTGACAAAAAATATTGTTCATGCTGTATACATAATTCTCTCTGCATGCAACACGTGATACTAAATAGATGAAAAAATTGTGACAATTAACATCATCAGCATTTTACAGACTAGGATATTTTCAGACATTATGCCTATGTTGGACTTTGTGAAGGCATATAAATTTTATACAAGAACTGCCTTCGTTAATATACTGCTTACATGTATATCGCTATATTACTCTTGACATGTATGCATCTTTGAATGCTACTTAAGAATTACCACTGTGTGACAGATAATGTGATATGCATGATCTGCAATAGCAGAAATGAGCATTCCTAATAAACCATTTTCTGGTTATTCCCCTTGAAACAGCTCTTTTGTGTATGGAGTATGACCTAATTATGCACTAGAGTTTATTGAACCTCAGCCATGTTACTTGTATTTTCATTCCGTTTGCCAACGAATAATGGATGATTTAGACTGTTCAGACACCATCAGTATGTATTAATATACATTAAAATCTCTCGTGTCTTTAAAGTTTTTGTGACCTAGTTTATGGGCAGACAAAATTTGGCATTAAATACCTGTTGTTCGGACAGCATGTACTTGTTCTGGAGCATGTAAATATAATGTTCAGGTCACAGCTGAGCATATTGTGATGTTTTGTTGTAAACATGCACAACGGCTGTCAGACAACATGGTTTGACATGATTATGCTTCGTACTTTTATTTGTATGTCAGAGTATTTTTGGAATCAATTACTTTGAATGCATGTGTAATATAAGTTGTTATTTTAAATTGTCATTCAGCTGAACTTCTAATTGGTATAAGTTTCAGAATTTTTATTTGTTTTTTCAATAACTAAATCTTTTCATCTTTTAATGTTTATATTGAATTAATAACTTCAATACTGGCTAATACACAGTCTCATAAATATCCGAGTTTACACTTGCATGTGTGATACCAGAACTTTTCCTATCAGAGGAAATCATTACTTTATGATCCTATTATTTAATACAAGTATTTGTATATTATTCATCAGATTAAATGGCAACATCATGTTTTCTATTGGTTACTAGCTAAAATGGGCACAATTTAAGTCATGTATGGGCAAACTAGTAACATTCAAATACCTGGTATATATTTATAATTATATTGATGAAAGAGGAACTGTAGAATATGTTGCAATGGACATTTTAAACCTATATTTTCTCAAAATTTTGCGCCAGCTAGCCTCTTGTATGGTTATCCTTGTGAGATGTATATTTTGGACATCTCCCTATGGTACAATTGTTTTTCGTTCAGGTGTAGGAAAGCAGCCACATTTTTCTTGCTCATCTGTCTTATTTGCATCAGTTGATGTGTGTAGAATATTTTACTTAAACAGTTAAACTTACACATGATCATTTACGGTCATATGAAAAATGTCCAATTCTGCACCCCCAACACCATTGCTACCAAACTGTAGATATTAAAAAGTATATTTAAAATATCTACATTTTAGAGAAGGGACTTAACAGTTTACACTATAATATGTTTTACGGTGTGACCGTTGGGGCGAGCGCAGTTGTACCATCAAAAACACTTGAGATCAGCCACTTCGAATGTCAAGCCGCACGAGATATCTCGACTAGCTGTGACATCATACAACGTCACAAAGCTCGTCGGAGCTTACGGAGACAGCCGAGCGTCTGTTTGAAACTATAGAACAAGTGCAATTTTTGTCGATAAACATTGCAGAGTTATTTCTTGTTTCTTTGAAAGATTTCTACAAACTAAAAGTCTGATATATGCTTTACGTTATTATTTATTTATTTATTCGGCAATATTCGCGCAAAGGACATTGGGTAGTGCAGGAATTCTGGGAATGTTGCACAGAGAAATTTGGCTGACGTATGTACAGATTTCAATCCGAATTTCCTCTGTTCTTACACGTTAGTCTATTGAGCTCGCTTTGCGAGCGTCGCTTTGCGAGCGTCGCTTCGCGACGCTCGCTGCGCTCGCTATTAGACAAGATTTCAGATTACCCAACATCCAGAGAAGACAAGTTTCACTGTAATTTATCACTAAATTATTAAATGAAACAAAATTATCAACTTCTTCATTTCTTGTATTGTTGTTTGTAATCTATAATTTTCACAGGTAGACCCTTCTCTCGTAAAGTTCTCACAAATAAAAATTAAATTTACTTTATAAAGCAAATTTACAATATAGTATGTATTTCTTTTGAATTGACCACTGAAAATTTTCAGAGAACAATTAACTGATTAAATTTAAAATTTAATTACTTTGGATTACAAAAGTTTCTTAAGAATGAAATATGCCATATTATGAATTCTTACTTACAAAAATATGTTAGTTTAATACACTTTTAAAAATTTTAGGATCTTAAAAAATATTGTTGTAAAAGAGGAAAAACCTCTGTTGAACACATTATCAGTTGATTATATCTATAAAATCAGTATATCTGAGTTCTTTACAACGGTAAAATTTTACAATGAATCGTTTATAATTTTGTCATGGATACAAAAAAAACTGCTTTATCCATAAATTTTGCAATATCTGTGTTCATACAATATTGAATGAGTTGTACTCTTTAACAAATGAATTGATTAAGTGAAAGATCAGTTACAGGACACAGATGAAGCACATTGCATTAATGAAATACCTCTAAGCTATATGAAAAGTAATGAGGGGCATTTACAGTATTGAAAAATTCTCTACTCATCAGGAAATTTAAAGATTACTCAAACCTTACTGTGGGTAAAATGTGAAGAGAAAGTTATTTTGACCAGGATATGACATTTTACATGATTTGTTGAACCAGTTATGGATTTTTTAAAGGATACGTTAAAATTCTATCTCATTTATAAATTACTTATACTGTAGTTAACATGCTGCTTTTTGGGAAACTGAACGCGATAATCGGTCAACTAAAACATCCTTTTGTTAAAAGAACCTTTAGGTACACTATATAAACTTGGTGATTTTTTGATAAATGCTTGTAGAATTTTTTCAATGTTGTCATAAAATTTATGATTTCATTCCTTAGTTAAAGAAGCCAAATAGTTTTTTCACTCTCTCTCTTGTTCCATTGCACTGAGTTCACATTTATCATGAATATTAATGGATATACTAAAGCTTTTAAAAATGCCTGAAGCATGCAGTATACATGATAATTGTTTTATTTTCAAACTGTTTAATATGTATAAATGAACAATTGGCTAATATACCTTCACAGGCCATTAATGCAAAATTAAAAGTATAAATCACTTTTTACCAAAAATGTATCGTTAAATTCTTGCCTCTTCTTTGAGTCTCTAGGCATTGTTTGTTTTTTTTTCTCAGTTGTTTGAATTAAATATATGTATTTTTAGCCAGATTTGCTGAGAGGACAGACATATGTTAGTTTGTATTAAGGATAATTGTCTCATATATTAACACAATATCATGAAGGCCATTAGCCCCAGACAATACATTTTTCTCGTCGTTTCTTTTAGCTGATTAATCAAAATATGTTAAACAAAATGTTTTTAAGTATATTACCATGTATAAATCTAGTTTACATTCAGAAAAGAAATTTTTTCATATTTCTTTTCTGAAACATGAGCTAATTTTTTTTGTCATTTGATTCAGCAGTATTGATGATGTACATGATGTACGCCATACAAATATATGTAACCTTCAGAATTTTCCTTTATCAGTCAGATAATAGTAATCACCAAGGCTAGTCTATATATGCATAATGATAGTTATTCATATGCACAAGTACTGTACTATATATATAATGATTGCTCAAACCTCGGCTTACATTTGACCTTCTGTACTTCTATTGTGATACATGTGCAGAGTTGTCACTGTATAAACAGCACACACCTTTCAGCTTTCATTGATTTGACTTCGATTTTTGATCTGTGTAGATTTTGGACAATGTGTATTTTGTGAAAACACTGACTAGATTTGCACGATGGTGTATGTTACAGAAGGTGAGAGGTTATTCAGTAGGTTTCCTGGTAAAGTACTGGACGCTTTCCAGGTACATGTAGACCCTACAGAAACTTGGAATATTGAATTTTTTATTAAAAATTGCTGAACTTGATTTTTCTTTTTTTTAGCCTCGGGAAGTGGTGGGGAGATGCAGTACCCCCAGGATGTGAAGTACACATTCGAGGAACTGTGTCCTGTTTGCGGGGATAAGGTGTCGGGGTACCATTACGGACTTCTCACCTGTGAAAGCTGCAAAGGTAAGATAATCCTACAGCTGTCAGTTACTGGATCAAGGTCACCAAAATAAGGCTTTAATTGAAGTCATATAATCACTATGAATGATATATTCTGAAAAATTAAATCACTAACAGATTGTCAACATTAAACATTACTTTCTCAGTAATGCGATTGATAAATCAGTAATAGGGAATCCATTCAATAATAGTAAATATGAATCATTATAGTTTCAGTTAATGAAGAGGGATAATTCTCACAATAATTGCATGAACTCATGTGGAATATGAGCTTACAGTAGCAGAGCATTTTACAGTGATATGCTGATAGGCTAATTTTTTAAAGGTTAAAATGACAGGCCATGATCATAATGATTGAAACTTATATTTCTTCAAATTTTTTTGTAACATATTACAGGTTTCTTCAAGAGAACAGTACAAAACAAAAAGGTTTACTCTTGTGTGGATAACAGAAATTGTCATATTGACAAGAGTCAGCGAAAGCGGTGTCCATATTGTAGATTTCAGAAGTGTCTCAGCGTAGGCATGAAGTTAGAAGGTAAGGGTAATATAAAAGATTGATTGGAATGGTTCTTGTCTCGTATTTTTTGTAATTTTTTTTTTACCAAATATTTATGACTCTTACTTTTAAATATTTGAAGATTAGTTTTTACTCTTTTGAAAATCGCAAGTAGAAATCGATGATAAGGATATTTAAAGACGATGTAAATGCATGTAGTTTATGAATCATTAGAGGTAGAATCATCAGAGGTAGAGGTATAGGTTTTTTTAACCCTTAAATTTCATTCTTTAGATTCATACAACATTTTCCATTCTTTTGTAGCTGTGAGACAAGATAGAATGAGAGGAGGGAGAAACAAATTTGGTCCGATGTACAAACGCGACCGAGCCCTCAAACAGCAGGCCATACGGCAGCAACAACAGCTTCTGGCCACGTGTCATGCGCGATTTTCGGGTGGAATGAACATGATGGGAGACCAGGACATCAAACCGGATCCCAACATGCTTCACCAACTGTCCTCCGAGGGCAATGTGGGATACGCAATGCATTCACCTCCACTGTCCGGTATGCCCTCACCAGGGATGCCAGATTCACCCCCTCAGGACCTCAGTCGGTTGTCAACCTCGGTTTCCTCTCAAGCCCTGCCCACTTCCACCAACTCTCCCTCTCAGGTTTACTCCATGCCACCAAATTACCATCACTCTGTAGTGTCAGCACTGCGCAATCAATATTCATCCACACCTCAAATGAATCACCATTATAACCATCACAGTCCAACCCAGATGTCGCCACTATCGCCCGTGGCGCCCCCTATTGTGCCAATTGTGCCTCAAATGATTCTGGACGTGAAAGCTTCCATGGCTGACGAGAATGAAATAAAACAAAAACTGACTTCCTTTGTACAAAATGAGTTTGGTCATGAAGACATTTTACAACCTAGTGTTTTAATCAACATGCTCTGTAAATTGTCCGACCAGCTTCTGTTTCTGATGGTGGAATGGGCAAGAACCTCATTCTTCTTCAAAGATTTAAAGGTAAACATCTGAAATTCATTCCATAAATGAGGCTTTTAATATAGCATGGTCATCAATCATAGTATAGGCTCAAATTGATTTCTATAGAGTAACGTTGTGTATTCAACAGGGCACAGTTACACAGAGCACTATATATATAAAATGTATTGAACATCATACAGTACATGTCAGGAATCTTAGATCTAAACAAACTTGTTTGTTTTACACAGGTTGAAGATCAAATGAAGCTGCTACAGAACTGTTGGAGTGAGATACTTATATTAGACCTGGTCCATCGACTGGTCAGGGAGACATGGTCAGGCGAGGTCACTCTGGTAAGTATACGCTATATCGGATCCAATTATAACACACTTAAAAGAAAGTTAAAAAATATACATTTTGCTCAACAAACAAAATATATTTTTTAGTTGAATGGAAAAAAGCTGACATTGGATTGCTTAGACAAATTAGGATTAGCAGCAGCCAAAGAGAGCATCTTTGATTTGGTGCGAAAAATGAAAGAACTAAAGATAGATATCAACGAATATCTGTGCCTGAAATTTTTAATATTATTAAATCCTGGTAAGTGGGTTAAACTGAAATGGGATGATTATTATTTGTTATGAGTAAAAACATTTATTCTTAAAGATTTTGTTCATTTTCTTTTCTCTGAAGATTTTTTGTTGAAGGATAAAATGCACCTCTAAAATTCATTACTTGAGCTAGATTTATTTTGTTCACTTGTCTAAAATAACAACCTGTCAAATGATAAATCATTTTCTTTGCACAGATGTACCAGGTCTAGAAAATCGACAAGCAGTGGAGAACTCCCAAGAGAAGGTAAATTCAGCCCTAATGGAATACTGTGTCAATTTCTACCCGCATCTTAAAGACAAATTTGGACAAGTTCTATTAAGACTTCCAGAAGTGAGATTGATCAGTATGCATGCTGAGGAATTTCTGTACTACAAACATCTGAATGGTGAAATTCCCGATCAGACACTTCTAATAGAAATGCTGCATTCTAAGAAGAAATAAAGAATAGCGTCCTATAGGCTGCAAGGTTTTTCCCTAAATTTGAGTATGTTAGGATGCCGCTTCAAAACAAGGTTGGAGATGCATGAGCTAAGAGGAGAAAAGGCACTTTCGAGAAAATGATAGTTTCTATCGAAGGTTGTTGAGTTATATTTTTTATCAGGGAAAAGAAACTTGTATACATGTAGTTATATCAAAAAAGGAGAAATGTACAAGTCAATTGATAATGAGTGCTCCAGTGTTTATTCATGTTTGGTTCAAAGTATCGAGTGCGATAATCATGAAATATAGTGCCATGTTTTTCATCTGTTATGTTATATATTGTTAAATTTGTTTTAATTATGTTCTTATTTTTTGGACATTGATGGTCAGTTATTAACTTCTTTACTTGTCCGTTTCTAAATGACGGTGCACAACTTTAATTAAACCTGAATAGAATCTTTTTTTTAATTCGAGAAAATATTAATTACAGAAATAGATTTTAGGTCTTAATTTTTTCATAAATAAAGCTTGTGCCATTTACATTATGTTAAAAAAAATATGATGTAGTAGTTAGAAATCTAGTTGTTTTTAATACATTGAGCATACTATATGTATGTTTCATTGTTTTATGCAACACTATACCCGACAAGTAGCATATTTTTTAGACAGAAAAATTTAAAGTAAGTTCAACTGATATATTTTCAGTAGGTACACATTTCCCCTGTATTTATAGAGAATATATACTGTTTATGTACTGTATATGTTTCATTATATTGACTTTGTGTTAATATCATTCTCATTTCATTTTCATAGGGCATTTGGTTTATAACTGTCATTAGATTTGTACTTGATGCAGTTGTAGCTGAACATTTTTTATTGCGGTATACTTTCTGCCGAGTAAGGCTTTGGAAGTACACAACTTTAGCGTAGCTCAAAAACACGTCTTGGAAATATTTTTTATTCCATTTTGTTAAGGATTTTTTTTTATGTTTAATAATATTCAAGAAGAGATTTCCCAGTATGGAAGTTTTGGAATTTTCTTTTGTTTTTAAATTATTTTATGACAAATTTTATTTTGGAACTTATATTTGTAATAGATTTAAATTTTTCCTGTTTTGGTTTTTATAAAATTATCTGGTTCCGAATAATGCAAGGATGCCTTTTATTTACAAAAAATAGTTGTTTTTTTTTTTTTTTTTTTTTTTTTAATCATCATGCACTGATATGTCAAAGTAAATTACCGATGAATTCAAAATTTCAAGAATCTTGAAAAATCTTTTTTGAACCTTAATCCTATCTTTCCATCTGTTTGTCAATGCATAATCACTGTAATCTATGAGAAATATGAGTATGACAATCAAATAACAGAATACATCTAGATTAATTAGGCTGTTCCATGTTGCTCAACATTTGTCACCAATGTTAAAAACACAGATTTGTAAAATCTGTAAATGGTTGATTAGCTATTTTTCATAGCAGCATTTTCATATTCTGTAGCATATATCAAACCTTCATTGATATATAATTAGAAATTAACCTTGATATTTATAAAGATCTCAAAAATAAAAAATAAAAACTTTCTGCACTTAAATTTTAGCTAGCTTCCTCTATTTTTCCAAAGAAAATAAAATGCTTTTCGTAGAATTTTTTTTCCAAAACATTAACCATGTTAACGCATGAATTTAATTTTTTTTTAAAAATTGTTTTTACATAATATATTATCTTATGCAGCTATTTCACACTTAGAAATTGTAAATAATTTTTTATGACATTTGACGATTGATCACATGATCAAATATTCTAATGAAATCTTACCATTCCCTGAAGTGCATGCATGATGATACAAAATTGTTTTAGCTAACACATTAAAAACTTCATATCCTTGCAGTGAGAATTACAAGTTAATGGATTGGAGGTTTTCCATGTTTTAGTCTGAAAAAAAAACACTTTTATATAATATATATTGGATAGTTAATATATTCTCATATTTAAGTCACATTAATTATACTGTTTTTACATGTTTTCATCAACTACACATACAGTGCTGAATAATTTTGTTGACGGCTGAAGTTTTGTTGGAAAACCAGCTTCAAATGTGTATATACAAATATATGACTGTATATTAAAGTGTATGAGAGTGTGTGGTTGAGAGATATGATACGAAAGTCTGTGCAGTATTTGCACCCAGAACATTTTTACTTGTGAGGGACATCTCCAATGTGTTGTAACTCCATGCCTCTTGGATACATTTAGTGCTATGTTTATAAACCAGAAGTGCTACAAGGATGTACATTTCTATTGAATGTATGTGCTTTCACTGCTAAACATTGTGATTTATTTTCAAAATGGATTCTCTAAACCATGTATAGATTTGTACACACAAGCTTGTAAACCAATACAAGCCCCCATGTTTTAATGGTCTGTCTGATGGACTCTGGAATTTTGAATAGAGCTTTTTGACTTTATATTGTTTAATATTTGTTTTTAGTGAGGTACTGTGATCATTTTGACCAGTTTCCAACACAGTGTTAAGATAAAAAGGAAAAATTAATTTACTGATAGGCTTGCTGTTCAAGAATATCTAACTTGATGGCAGTCTTGTGGCAGTGAAGAAAATTCTGTTATTATTGCCACAGGCTGCTCTATGGCATACAGTTGTATATGAAATAAAATCTAAAACTGTGTACAAGTCTTTCTTCTATTTTTCAGTATAGTGTTAACTTACATTGGTATATTTAACAGTTCTTTTACATGTAACTGACCTTCTTTTTGAATTTGCAGGCATTCATATTCAGATTATTTAGATGCATATTTTGAACTCTTTGAAGCTTATGATCCAGGATGCAGCAACTGATTAAGATTCAAAGCGAATTTTAAAATATCTGAAATATTTAAATAAAGCTGTTCAATTCCCTAAGTAGGTCACTGTGACCTATTTTTCCAATGAAATATTTTGAGGTCTTAGGATACATAAATTGACAAGGTTTAATGATCATAAACATTCTCATAGTGAAGTTCTTTTTTTTTAAGTAATTGAGTAATCAGAGTTTTATCTTTTAAAGGGGCTTGGACACAGATTTGAAGTTAATATTTTCTGGCCATGTGGAAGAAAACTCACCGTCAGTGACTATAACCATGATTTTATTACATGTACTACATGTAGCAATTTGTTTCCCAAAGCCATCTTTTGCTGTGAACTGTATAGTACAGGGACAATATAATACACTGTACTCTTGTAGCATGAAGGGAAGATGAGATAAAAGAATCACTCATATTTGTCTGAGAATTATAGAAAATATCATATTACTGTTTTATATATGAAAAAACTAGAAAAATGACCAGTCAGCAAGGGCCCCGCTGAGGGGTAGAAATATAAGGGTGCAGCTCATTGAATGAGAGTTTTACTTGATTACATTTTTTAAAAATGAAGATTATAAGTAACAACTGTAGTTTTTAAAATTTCAAGATAATTCCTGAATGTCCAAAAACCTGTAGATAGTAACCTAGCTTGTATTTACATAAAACGGGGAAAACCTCATGTCTTATTAAAAAAAATAAATTAAATGTGTATTTAAAAAAGATTTAAGCAGGTGTTATATAAAACGCAAGCCTTCAGTGAATGCAAATACCCAGTATCACCTAAGGTTGAACTCAACTTCAAAACAATCATCAGTTGCAGACAAAGGTGTTCATTAATCTTTATGTGACAGATAAAGATAAGCCTCTAAATTTTCTGCAGCAGGCTAGATAATTAATCCCAAGAGATTAATTGAACTGCTCTCTCATCCTTTTCTTCTAAATTTACAATAAGAACTCTTTTTTTTAGCTCTGACAGAATAGGGTTATTGTCTGATTACCTGTTAAAATTAACAGCATCAAGGCAGCCCCCCCCCCCAAAAAAAATAAAATAATTAAAGAAATAAAATAGTAATAATAAAACATAGGTAATCAGAGATTACAGAGCTCACCTCAACGAATGTTGTCTTTAAGTAAGGCAAATTAAGTCACACAATTAACCAACAAAAAGTGTACATCCAAAAATGCAAAATTTATGCAATTTTGATACTTTGGAATAGTCCTTTATAAAAACTTAAAACTAGTTCTTTATCATGAAAATGTAATTAAAATCCAGCATCTGAAGCAAGATTCTGAGAGTTTTCATCCCTCGATGCATCATTTGTGCAACTTTGGTTTATATAAGCCTTATAGTTTCTTGGTGATAGACCTGCACCCATAACTTTTACGAGGTCTATTGTCTGGAAAATGTATGTTGAATTCAGCATCTGAAGCAAGTCCATTAGTGTGCATCCTAAGATGTATCATCCATGCAAGTTTGTTCAACATAGAGCTCAAAGTTACTTGGAAATGAAACCTGTATAAAAAACTAACCTTTTCACTAATCCGGAAAATGTAGGTCAGAATCAGCTTCTGAAGCCAGCCTAGTAGAATGCACCCTTAGATGTACCATCCATGCCAAGTTTGGTCATTATAGGGCTCAAAGTTACTTGGAAATGAATCCTGCACCATAAACTTTAACCTGTTTACTCGTCCAGAAAATGTAGGTCAGATTCAGCATCCGAAGCAAGTCTGGTAGTATGCATCCTAAGATGTACCATCCATGTAAGTTTGGTCAACATAGGGCTTATAGTTACTCGGAAATGAGACCTACACCAAAAACTGCACCAAAAATGTTAACCTGCACCAAAAACATTAACCTGGGCATTCCTTTGCTGAAATTGCAGCATCTGAAACTTTGACTGGTACAATGAAACACATTAGAAACATCTTCCATGCATGTCTAATCAATATAGGACATAGAAGTACTTATAAAGAAAACTGCTCCAAAAAACTTAACCTTAACCCGGGACACCGACGCCGACGGTATCACATAAGCTCCCCCCAACTTCGTTGAGGTGAGCTAAAAATGATATCTTAATATATATATATCTTGATTTTAGAATTCAATAAATTTATAATAAATCATTCTGTACAGTATTTTAACCAAAATAAAGTATGAACATTATTTTAAATCCATATTTCAGAGAATGTACACATCATTCAAAATTGACCTTAACTTCAAAACAAAGTTCATTTGCAGACAGAGGCAGTACAGTTATTAATCTCAATGTGACAGATAAAGATAATGCTTAGGACTTTCTTCATGTGGAAGGTTAATTAATCCCAAAGGACAAATTGCACAGCCTTCCCAGTTTACAATGGTAACATTCTCAGCAGTTATCTCTCTTTGCCCATTCATTCTTATGCATAGTAAAGGAATCTACCCCACCACCCCAGCCCAAAACCAGAAGACATAGAGAACCAAACTTAGCATCAAAATATGTATTTCTGCCTACTGAAATACCATACCAAATTTGAACTTGATTGGGCAACCATAAAAAAATGTTATTAGAAAAAAACAGAAAATTTGTGGACGGAAGAATGACAGACGGACAGCTAGACAGACAGACAGAGTGATTACTATAGGGCACCCGCAAATCCTTGCGGGGCCCTAATGACTGCCTTAAGATGTAGATAAACACAAAACACACAAAATACTGTTTCCTTCCTGAAACCAATACCTATGTTGACGATAGCTTATAGATTAATATTGTAAGGATATAGATAAAAACATTCTACATGTATCTTGCTGGCAGAAAATTTTCAATCTCTGTAAATTGATATTTCATAATGAATTGATATTTCATGAAATCAATGTTTTTTTTTCGGATAATAAGAATTCATATTTAAATGCAATCAAATAACAAAACCTTATAAGGATACAAAAGAACTTTGCAAACTCAGGTCACTTAAAAGTCATAGAAACCCGCTGAATAGGTATTGTTTATTTATATGCATGAACTTGACCTTTCCTTAATTACATAAAACACTGCTTAGCCTTATGTAATAATTCTTTTTTTTAAAAATGAGCTTCATATATACATGCATTTAAGCAGCTGTAACAGAAACAATATGTACTTATGATATGCAAATACCATAAGATTAATCAGTTAATGATACACAAAGCAGACATTTGTGTTTTAATTAATGATATATAATGCCAACAACTTTCGATACCCAGTGATGGAACTTTTATAAAGAATGGAGGTGTAGAAGGCAAGAAGAACCACCAAATGCGAGACAAGAAATAACTCAGTTCTTAACATTTATAGTGCTGTTCTTTGCTGGTTAGCACATAAGGCTGTCACCTGAGAAAAAAAAAAAACTTTAATTTTTTTTCTTCTCAAAAAAGCAAAGTTATATGCTATATTGATGTGGAGACATCTTTAAGTAGTATAAAATTCCCTCTGCTCCCCCCCAACCTTTTTCAACACTGAACTGATTTGTGCTCTTTCCTAGCACTCAGATGTGCTCAGGTGAACCATGTGGCACATGGGCCTCTCATGTTTAGGGTGATGGGATCGTCTGATTTAGTGTTGACCCTCATGATAGTCTTAATCTTCAATGTTCATGGAAAATTATACCGTTATTTTATCAAATATCATATTGTTACAAACATGCCTTAAAGCTAATGAGCTGCAACTTTGATGTTGCAATTTTTTGTTGCAAAATATTGTAAATATCTACTTCATGACAGAAAAAAATAACATTGATAAACTTTTGTTGTTCATATTTGCGATGGAAAAACTATTTATATAAGCTTCAACTGAATCAAAATTATGTTATAATTGTCGTCCTGTACAATAATGATTTCTTATACATGTATAAAACTGTATATTGGATTGTATATAGAAGTCTTTCTTCTGCTTTATTTTAGCCTAATAGTCCAATCCACACTTTGAAAAAGTTGTGTCTCTTTGTGGGGTCAAGCAAAAGGTCAAAAGGGAAAGAAATGCCATTTCCTTCTTTATGCTATCCAACATTTTGGCGTGCTTCAATAAATCCACTGTGTTTAATTTTTTTCTGTCAATGTATGGGTAGCCCCATCCTGAGCCAATCACATACCAGATGCACTGATTTTTTTCTGTCAAATAATTAAGTTACAAACCAGAAAACTACAAAAGCTACTGTGAGGATTCTGTGGGTTTTTCCCAAAAGATGGCAGCCAAGGGACATAACTTTTGGAAAGTGTGGATTCAACTATTGATCATAAAAGTTTAAGTTAAATACAAATTTATCATAATAACTCATTTTAACAGCAAAATAAAATTTTCAAAAATGCAGTTCAAATTGCTTTAAAAATTTTACATAAATTTTCCCAGTTGGAAAGTGTGGATTCAACTATTGATCATAATTCAGGTTTAAAGTAAATACAAATTTATCATAATAACTCATTTTAACAGCAAAATAAAATTTTCAAAAATGCAGTTCATATTGCTTTAAAAATTTTAATTCTTAAGTACTTTATTGAGTAATTTACTGATAAATGGACAGACAAACACCATACCAGCACATAAGCTCTTTTTGAGTCCAACCAGTAGAACTAAAAAAGACTTAAAATTCTTCTAAAGTTTTATTGTGTGTAAAGTGAAGCTGCAAATACAATGTCTCTTTTGATCATATTAGAAGCTTCCTCCATTTTGCGATACAACACGGGGTCACCGATTATTCGAGCTGCATTCCTTACATCTCTCAGTGTTTCGTGAAGTCTTTGAATACATCGGACAATAATTCCCTCCTGTACATCAGTCAATCCAGTGATTTCAGCAAAGGGCTGCAAGGTAATGATTT